CACGGAATTCAGTGAAAGTTATGTACACGTGCTTTTGACAGAATCCAGTTGGACAATACTTTAATCTCTTTTTATATTTTATTGTAAGTGCGGTTCATTTTATAATTACGAATACGGCAGTTGTCTGGTTAATTTTAACTTTATTATTGAAAGGCGACAGGATAATTCATTTTAATCTGATATTCAGACATACTATATGAAAAGAATTTCATGGCATTGCATGAAACATTGTTTTACAAATGAATCGCATTGATTGGTAGCAAAGTAAAACAAGATAGCTTTATTTTTTTATTTACAGACAATGCATGAAATCTATGAAAATTTAATTGTTTGAAATCACACAAAGATAAATTGAATAAACATTTATTTGCACTTTCGTTTGGTACGCCTTTTAGAAATTATTCATTTAAAAGAAGAAATCGATATTGGTTTAGACTCTTGCATGAATTATTCCATTCAGTCTTTGAAATAATTCAAAATGAGATATTCTATCGGCAGGATAGAGTTTTGTGTACCGTATATATTGAATTATTGATAGTTTACTCATCACATTTTATTATCATGAGAATTTCTTCCACAACTACTGATATGGACTTGCAAATATAAAATCATTTTCAAAGGTTAAATGTATATATAACAGATGAAGTACTGTTTGCTGCTTAGAAATTTAATGATAGACCTATCCATTTTCAAGAACAACCGCACCGATATAATCAAAGTGGTCTGGTTCATAAAGGGAACCGTATCCATATGTATTTCAAACACATTTAGTGATAAAAAAAATAATACAAGAAATGTATCATTAGGATATTCCATTGAAATAGTAATGCTAGAAAAAAAATTTGATAAAGTTCTAGGTGATTTAGTATGAACATTTATATGATGAATTGTAATATTTTGTTCTAGACATTTAGGTACATGTATGTCCAACAATATTTATATATCGGATCTTAAATCTCACACTTGCAAACAACATTTATATATAATTTGTTCATGGTTTGTTATGTCTAATACAAAATACAAGCAATAAAATTATCTATTGTATTACAGACTTTCCATTACAGACCAATTCATTACAGCTGTACTGGTGGAGGTTCTTGCAATCTTAGTTCCGGACAGAAACGAAGTAGCCAACAACTTTCTGATTTGCTCTATGTTTGATATTGAATCTGTGATGCACAAGTGTTCGGCCCGTTGATTGGACACTACCTTCTAACCCCCTCTATAACCCACAACCTTTCCAAACAATCTAAACATTTTACTGCAGTTTTTTCATGGCATGCAACATGCGTTTAAATATTATAAAATTGTATAATAAATATCTGACTGAGACTAAAACATTTCTTTCATTTTAAAAAGAGATACATATTATACTATTTTTGTGAATTTCTTTTATTTTTTGAATAACATAAATGTTATCAAAACCATATATATAATGTTTAAACGCATGTACATAGAAACACTGCAGTATAAATTGTTTGGGAAATGTTGGGGGTAAAGGAGAGGGTAAGTGGTAGTGACCAATCAACGCGCCTAACACCTGAGCTCTGATGTACATGCTGCTGAGGAAAATGTGACAACGGAAACAAGATGTTTTTTCTGTTTGTTTATGCTAGGCAGAAAACATCAGATATTAAATAAGTGTAAGAAACGTTGTTTTTATATACTTAGAATCATTTGTTTTTGATTTTTCCTGTGGCTTTGTTAATATACACCACAGTGTCTATTATAGGATTCGAAAAAACAGGGAGGGGGGTATCGAAAAAAGTGAGAATTTATTACATTTGTTAATCTTTTTCCTTCTGTATCTATGTAAAATATTCCCCCATTAGGAGGAATTCTCAAAAATATGAGTGAACCCCCCCCCTCCCACATCCCCTCCTACAATAGGCACTGTATACACCCTTTTGTAATGGTATAATGACATGGTTTTGCCTTTGAAATGTAAGACAAAATAAAACATCTGAAACAATTCCAATGTGACAGTCTTACGACGTTCGTCTTTCGATACCTCCTTTTTTACATATTTATTTTTTTACGTCTGGTATTTATCGAATCTGTTCACTGAGATCAGCTATACGCATACTAACTAGTATTCGCATCATGTTCCGGTTCATTATTTGTGAACCTTATATTTCATATAGCCTGTGTAGAGACTTTTTTTACATCCTATAAGACCGTTGTATTGAAAAGCAACACAATGTATTGAAACACAAACAAATCGATGAATTTGTATAAATTTATTTATTTATTTATTTGTTTGTTTGTTTGTTTGTTCATTTATTTATTTATCTATTTATTACAATCTGATTGAAATCAACTTTGATTTGCATGTAACATACATGTATAATAAACAAGCTGGTCTGACCGTTAGTCTTTGGTCATCCCTAGAAATCTTTCAAAAGTTTTAGACATTTTTTACTTTTATTCAAACTTGCCCTGTAAACATGTGTGTAACAGAGTATCCCCTTGTTAATGGTTACCCTGATAATTCGAAACCTGTCGCAGCGGAACTCAAATAGCAGTTTTTACAATAGTTCTTAAAAAAATATTAAAATAAATTCGAAAGAAGAAGGACAAAAAATAATATGGTTTTAAGTTTGAAAATCACACAATATGGTAAAATGCAAAATGGTGTATGATGGTTTTGGTTCACATTAAGTGTTTAAAGACTCAAAAAGATATTCTGTCACTATAAATCGAAATTTGATTATTATGAGACAAATTAAGAGATTACTTATTTCATGCTTATTAAAATTTGTACTTTCCATCTGCTAATTATGAGCACAGCCGAACGTGAGTTTTCACTAGTGCAAATATTCAATTTCATCGATTTCCTGTATTAGCTTGACATTTAAGACATCACGTTCCTATAAGACACATAACAAGTCTGTTTTGGCGCGGATGGTTTAAATTGACCAAATTGATAGATCCCTACTTTGACTTTTTATTTGAATAACAATACATTTAACCACAAACAACGACATGTGTTCTTTTGTTAAGAAATATGTTGTGGTGAAATTCTTATTGTATCCACTAATCTGATAATTAGAATAAGAAAGGTCAGGGAAACGATTTTGGTTGACGGACAGAAATCATGGTGCAAACAACAGATCTAACATAAAATCTTATGTAGAAAACTTTCGATGTTTTACTTCTAGAAAAAAAGTCAAACAAACATAAATTACAAAGGAATTGATTCGTAGAAAATCTAACTTTTTCGCATGCTGTGGTATAAAATGACATTCACAATGCTTTTATGAATATTTAGATGTAAAATGATATCTGAATTAATTACTTTTATATTTCAAGAATTCATGTCAAATAATTACTTAAAATCTCACAACAAGGCTTTTGTCCGCCCTGTCATTTTCACGTAAGGGTTTTTGTTCATACATTTACTTTCAAATAATTTTCTATAAAATACGATTAAATATTTTATCTGAAGCAGAACATTAATCAAAATATTGCGATAATATTCTAATTGGTCTGGTTTCAATATTTATATGATGTATATAATTCACTTAGCAAATAAGAACTTTGTTCTTCACAAAATAAATCCGCAGAAAATGATATTAAACCACTCTGAAAATTATCTTCTCGCCTTACTGTACACAATATTGAATTTATAAGAGTTTAAACTCTTTGGTTCATCGATTGTTACGAATTAGGCAATACAGCAAATTGTGGTCTTAATAGGTGTTGATTCGATTGTCTGTGGTCTCAATAGTTGGAGTAAAATAAATAGATAAATAAATGGGCTGAAACTGGTGGTCTTAATAGTGGATAAGCGGGAAGGTCTTAATTGTGGATCATGTTATTAAGATCATAAAAAATCCGTTCTTTTTAAAATTGGTCTTACAAGCCGAGTTGTCTAAATTCCGGGTGGACTGAAGAAGGGTAAAGAAGGGTATCTTCTTTGTACTTTAAAATACTGCAAGTTTGTAACGTCCATTTTCATCGGGTAATCGTGACATTTATATAATTTATATAAACGACTGTTTTTAAATCATGTTGTTGTTTTTTTCAAATAATAAAAATATGTTATAAAGATGTCTGACATTTTATATGGCCGTGTATCAACGGTTTTTGCAATATAACTCTCGCTTACCAACTCGTATTATATCATTATTTATAAAGATTTTTGACAGATTATATAGCCCTACATTAAGGGTTGTTTGAATATATAACCGGGTCGCTAACGTTAATATACGGTCATATAAGCAGCCAAGAATCTTTATAACGAATTTATGATATAGCCAACTTCCTTTGTTGGAGAAAAAAAATTCTTCATAAATTGACAGCAGCCGTGTATATAAAAATATTAGAATATATAAACATCACGATTATCTAATGAAAAGCGACAAACGTGCAGTATTATAAAAGTTCACATATTGAATATAAACAATATCTTAAATTACACAATCATGTGAAAAACAATATTTTGTCTTTTTTTTAAGCATTATGTGACTTACAACATAATTATATTTTATACAAATAGAATATTTGAAGTTTGTGTAATAGAAATTAAATTTATTTGCGAACTTTAGATAAGTTAACAAAGAACGCGGTCTATAAAATCAGTCTTGAACCTGATACTTGTCTAATAAATATCAAACATTGTATAGATGGCTTTCAATTTAAGAGGGTATATTTTTCAGTCAATGGTTATAACAAATTTAACCTTTTTATAAGAGCAACATAATTTCAAAAAAATGACAGGCAGGGATGATTCAACCAGATGTTGTCACGAAATGTGTCACGCCTTATATTTACCAAATTAACAATACCGAGCGATTGAGACCGATTTATAGATTTACCGTGAGTTAAACTTTTGAACTTTCTTATTAGTTTTTCTTCTTTTTTTCAAATTAGTTATTGAATTTGCTGTAAAGTTAACAAAAATTCTCCCAAGTGACGTTCGTTTAGATGAGATGTCGTGGAACGATCGGAAATTGCTTCTCCGCGTCTCCGTTTTCTGATCGAAAACGAGGCAGATATTTCACCGATATGGGCAAAACAAGCGTCACTGATTGGATTTTCTCTTTTAATTTTCTAGATTTAATATCAAAGTGTTATCGGAACAAAAAGGACGGATAATTAATTTGGATCAGTTCGAAAGTATTATAATAAAAATGTAATGCTTGGAATAGAGTGCACTTTTTTTAAAGAAATGTTGAAATAAGCCCTTTTGAACAGAAACATTAAGAAAAGGGCATTGATATTTTGTGTTTATTCCATTTCAGACAAGAACGGATGCTAGGCATAAGGTCATTCGAATTTTGGATATATGAATATTTTTATAACACATTTCTATCGAATTTACAAAATTTTTATATCATGTGTTTTTTATTTATAAATGCAATGTATTTTATACTCTAAATGTCTTCAACCATAAAACGGATTTTCTATGACGCAGCATGGCATATTTTCAGAACGAAATACAAGTGAAAAAATGATGATATCTTTTTCTGTGATATATTTGTATGAATATGGACGACAATACTGAATTAAACAAATTCGACAATTTAAGGAATGCTTATTTTGTGATAAATGTCATGTACACTGTAACGATGGTGATTGGATTTTTTGGAAATGTTTTAATTGTTTCAACAATTTTAAAAAATAGATATCTACGAACTCCAATGAACGTTACTCTCGTGAGCCTGGCGTTATGTGATATTGTCGTCTGCGTGTTCGTACTTCCGGTCAGACTTTTCCTGTACAGTGGTACCTGGAGCGCCCCCTATACGTTTGTACTCTGTCGAGTTGACGTCTTCCTTAAATCTGTATGTGATTACGTGCAACCGTCTATGCTTGTGGCAACAAGTTATGAGAGATACAAATCTATTGCCAAACCATTCCAAAGTAAAGCAAAAATGAAACGAACGGTTATTGTAATAACCGCCACTTGGGGCACGTGTATTTTCTGCGGTGCAGTAAGCGCCATTCAACTAAAAGATGGTGCAACTATTTTTCCGTGCAATAAAGATATTATTACAACTGTTAACTTGAGTTTATCTGTGGTGAATTATAGAGAAGCTTATGTAACATTTCCTTTGGGATTTTCATGTATAATTATCGTGTGTATATTCTATTATTTAATGATAAGAACTTTACACGAACATACAAATAAAATGAAAAAACAATTTAAAGCAAAGCCATTTAAAAATAAAGTTCATCCAGACTCTAAAATAGACGAAACGGACACTAAAGTGCTTAACTTGGACGCCTTAACAATTCAGCCGTTAGTTATTGAAAAAACTGAAGTTGACATGTCCAATAACTCACGACAAACATCCGGAACGAGTATACGGACATCTGATAGCGTTAAAAATGGCGTTGATCCCGTGAACTTAAATATTGACTCTGAAAAGGACAATCAATTACTCCATATGAAAGATTCAATTTTGAATGTTTCAGAGACAATAACAGAGGCGAGTAACTCGGAAGATCAAAAGGTTGAAGACTTGTCGCCAGATGCTACCATAAGACGAATTTCTATCAAAAAGACGAGGGATAATATTTTGGTGCCTGCTAATGAAAGAGGTGACATGCGCAGATTTTCTACAGTAGCAAAACACGTGGTTCTTCTCAAGTCCCATAAGAGAAGATCGTTAAAGAGTTTGCAAACTAGAATAATTAAAATATCCCGCAATGCCTCAAGAAAAACATCTAGAGTAAGTAACGAAAGCAAAACCTCTGAGCTTGAATGTGATAATAGCGAGAACGAAAATAAAACATATACTGAAAAGGATAAAAACGAAACGATAAAAACCACAGAATTTGATTCTGACAATGCGGGTATAGAAGCCGTCCGAACTTCAAACGAAAGTGAAAACGACACAGACACTATTTCTGTCACAAAAACAGATTACTTTGTTGCTGAATCGGGAAATCAAAGTTTAATTGGTGGCCAGACAGTTCCCACCGGGTGTTAACAATTTTGAAGCTAAATGCATATTAAAAAAACTAAAAAAAATTATTAAAAAACCAAAAATGGAAATTTGCAATTTTTTAAACGAAATCGAGTGAAAAAAAATTTTAAAAGAAAATTTTTGAGGGTTATTGATAATTATGCTCTGTCAGGTAACTTAAATTTATGCAAAATGAGTAATACCGATGAAGACAACAACGAAACAGTTCTTCTTAACGACGGAGAAATAAAAGAAAATGAAAATAAAAACGAACTTTCAGGGAACAGAAGCGGAACTGGCAGCAAAGAAAAAAATGAACTTAACACAGATCCACCGGAGGAAAAGAACAAAATTAGTAATATTGATGTTGTAGACTTTGATGGTACTGTACATAAAGACGTGAAAGTTGAAGGAGCAGTAGTAGGCGCTGTTTGTGTCATGAACAAAACTAACAGACTTGAGGGTAGGCGCAAAGTTGAAATGAGGGCGGCTAAAAGAATAGCGGTGCTGATGGGATCATTTGTACTGCTATGGTTACCGCTCCCTCTAATTGCTTTATTTGTTTCGAGTAGAAGACAAATATCAACAAGTGATATAGAGGCCCTAATAACCTCAGCTTCAATCAGCGCAACGACGATTGCATTCAATCCGATACTGAATTTATTGCTAAATAAACAATTAAGATCCGCTGCCCTTACGTTGCTTAGAAGAATGGTCAATACAATAAAGAGTATCAGGTTATTATAAAGGCAATAATACATTCTTGTGAAGTGAACTATAAAACTGACAATTATAAAAACACTGAATTATAGAAGCTCTGATTATAACACTGAGAAACTCTTTCGTAAATTGTATGGGTATTTCGCTATTTAGCCAATAGACCAAAAGATTTTACGAAGTAATTTTTATGTTGTTGTTTTAGTTTTTGATTCCGCTTTACTGGAAAAAGAGTGAATTTTCTTACAGAATAAATATGGGATTGTTGTTGTTGTCAAGGCAACAATCGAATTTTGAAATAATTTTAAAACGATAATGATATAATGATTTAATGTTTTTCCTGTTCTTTTTTCTCTCATTAAAGGCAAAACTGTTTTCTACCATATGTTCTGAAAATTGTATAGCGTGACAAAAGTTAGTTTTTGTCTTCTTAATTTATCTATTTTCTATAATTTAGGTTTCATATGAATTTATTTTTAATATTTTGTTTATTCGTTTTGTTATTTGGTTTGTTTGTTATTTTGTGTGTTTGTTATTTTGTTTAAAAAAATCAATATAAACATAAAAACTCATATCTGATAGATATTGAAAATAATGTTATTATTGTTTTCTAAAACGAGATTTTTTATCTCGGTAACTCAAAACTTTTAAGAAAGGAAATAAATGCATCAATGTGAAAGTGCTCGCGGAAAGGAACATGGGAAAAAAACTTGCTTTGAGTTTTTGTTGTGTTTTTAAGTAACTAAAGAATGGTCGCTAGGTTTTTTGTATTTAGATAACTTTGACATTTTTTCATACTAAACATGCACATGAATATGAAAACATAATTTGATATGACTTGATCTATATAAAACGCGGCATATTTCAAAGATGATCATGAGAATCAATACTTGATCAATATCTTGTTATTTACTGATCAATTTCTTTAGTGATATATTTTATGCATAATTCTAATACGCTTTAAATTGTTCTCAATTCAAACAGATAGGTATGTCGAGTGCATCATACAGAGTATATTGAAGGAGTGCAGCAAATAAAATCATATAATGCGAGTTTCTAGCGAGCATAATTTTGTTCAATTCAACAGTTCAATATATTTAGTACTAAATCTACACGAATATTATATTCTTTTTATCATATATTCAAAATAAAAACGGTTTACAATTAAAAAAGAGTCATTTTTCATTGACGCGCCTATTAGTACAGTCCCTGGGGACATTTTGTGAGCGGATATATGATATATCAATGTAAAGCTACATACTTGAAGTTTAAAATAAATGGGTTGACATGCTCAATCGTTTTACGTTTCGTCGCCAAGATGGTCGCCAAATTATTGGAAAACGGTTTATATGCATTTTGTCTGATAAAATAAGTTCTTTTTTGTATTTATTTAAGTTTAGGTGATGTGACAATTTACATCGTATGAAACAATTTGCAGTATATTGCAAAGACCTGAACAACACGTCAAAGTGTTATTACACTAGTGCAATATCATTTTTTTATAAAATGGTTTTATCACATATCCGTGCCGATTTTGCGACTCAGTTTAAATGGTATTGCACGGCCGTGCATATATTTTGACTTGACGTCATTTACGTTATACAAACATAGTGTAAAGCGTTACACTATAGAAGCGTCAATGATAAAAGATTCTTTTGCACTTTAAACAGTCTCTATGTTGGGTCTGTGATAAATAGAATATTATATTCGTGTAGGTTCAATAATGAATATATTGAACTCGTTGAATAAAATAATATTTTGCTCGCCAGAGGCTCGCATAATATAATTTTATTCAACTCGTTTAATAATTTCAGTATTTTAGGTGATAAAAACGATAATAATAAAATGCATATTTTGAAATGTACAAAATTAATGTGATGATATAATAAATGAATGTACAAACAAACGAAAGTTAGAATGAATGAATGAATGAATGAATGAATGAATGAATGAATGAATGAACGAACGAACGAACGAACGAACGAACGAACGAACGAACGAACGAACGAACGAACGAATGAATGAATGAAATTCTTTGATAAATATCTCACTGGAACTTTACGCTAGATCTATATGAGATTTATCAATTAAATTGTATTCAGGTATTCAGTATATTTTTTGAAAATTTATGAAAAGCCTCGTTTTTAAGTGATCTAGAACCCATTATAAAATTGATATATTATATTCACTAATGAACATGAAAGCATTTAAAGCATTTTATATCGTTTATTTTTTTAAAACAAACGAAACAAGCAAAATGCACATTTTTTTATCGACGTCGGGTTAGCCTTGTCTATGATAAGAAAAAAAACACTGGTGTATTATAGGACAAAAAGATCAATATAATGAGCCGTGTCATGACAAAACCAACATAATGCGTTTGCGACCAGCATGGATCAAGACTAGCCTGCGCATACGCGCAGTCTGATCAGGATCCATGCTATTCGCTTACAAATCCTATAACAAGTAGAGAAACTGATAGCGAACAGCATGGATCCTGATCAGACTGCGCGGATGCGCAGGCTGGTCTGGATCCATGCTGGTCGCAAACCCATTATGTTGGTTTTGTCATGACACGGCTCAATTATTTTGTTTGGCAATTACTTAATGCATCGATTAAGAAAGTAAACAAATACTAATATAATGCTACCAGTTGAAAACTAAATTCCTACCAATATTTTGCGTAAAGGTCCACCAAAATTAAGTTAATTTAGAGATATTATACTTTCCATTTAATTGATGCGAAAACAAATCTCGAATTTTGATTGGATGACACGTGCCTGATTGCCTGGTGCAGTATTTGTTATTTTAATATACAATATGACACAATTTTTTTGTTTTTTTTTTTTTGTTTTTTTTTTTGTTTTTTTTTGTCAGAACCAAAATTATTTTTATTAAAAATCTATATTCATTTCGGTGATTGAAATAAATGCTAGTTTTTCGAGTGACAAAAGAAAATCAACAGCAACAAAAACTCGTGGTATATACACGTGAATTTATTTTCCTGTTCACGTATATTTAGATAATATAAAAAAATATAAGTACATATGAGCCAAGTCATGACAAAACCAACATAATGGGTTTGCGACCAGCAGGGATCCAGACCAGCCTGCGCACCCGCGCAGTCTGATCAGGATCCATGCTGTTCGCTATCAGTTTCTCTACTTGTAATAGGGTTGGTAAGCAAACAACATGGATCCTGATCCAAATGCGCGGATGCGCAAGCTAGTCTGGATCCATGCTGGTCGCAAACGCATTATGTTGGTTTTGTCATGACACGGCTCATTATATTGATCTTTTTGTCCTTTAATGCCTGGTCTGGATCTATGCTGGTCGCAAACCCATTATATTGGTTTTGTCGTGACGCGGCTCATATTACTTTTAATATTTTAGACAAAAAAAGTCAAAGAAAAAATTAAATTACTGGAAAAACTTTTTATTTTACGGTTTTACTTCAATCTCTGAAAAATGCCCTTTCAGTGATTTTAAAACATCTTAATTTTTTCACACGGTTTGTATTTGGAAAAAAAAGTATTTTTCTGGGTTTTTTCCCCCTATTTTTTCAAGAAAAAGATAGTAAAGAATTTTTTATAACACCCGGTTTTAGACTATAAAAATTTTAACAATTGGATAACATTTAATTAATACATATACATGTTATGAAAGTATTACATATAAATTTTATTTATGTCGGGAGTTCATTATGTTTTTTCTATGAACACGCCTATTCAGCCACAAAATAAAAGTGCTGTGGGCACCACCGCTAGATTAAACTAATGTTTAGGCATGCAACGGATTGTTTGATTTCCGGTCATGTCACGTTGACATAGCGACAAGAAACTACCCTTTGTTTTTAGTGCTCATCAATAAGAAAAGCGTTAGTCTTTTTTCCTATATTAAAGTAACACTGTAGGTTTAGGATTAATTGGCCGCATAAGTTACCAAATTTGTTTCAAATTCTTTCTTTTGAACACTATTATATATATGAAAGTTTTATATATATGAAAGTTTAATAAGGATAAATAATCGCCAAACTTATCGTAAAATTCGGCGTATAACTTATATACTCACTGATTTCGAAATTACAAATGGAACCCCGAAAAAAAACCTAAACAGCAAACATATATTCTCTGATATTTTTGCAGAAATAAAATTGTGCACAAATATTATCTCTATGAATAAGTTATTTTATGAAATGGAAAAAAATGAAATGGCAAAAAATAAAACACTTTTACTTTAAAATGTCGCTGTAGAAATTTACATGCATCTTTTTCAAAAGATATAAAAAAAATAAAGGAAAGTAAAATCCTGTTTCAAATGTAAAGAGAAAGTCATCTTGAGTTATCTAGAGCGGGGCGTCCGTGGCCGAGTGGTTGACTTCAAACCACTTGTCCCTCACCGCTGTGGGTTCGAATCCCGACAGGGACTTTGGATTTTTTCATGTGAGGAAGCTATCCAGCTAGCCTACGGAACGGTGGGTGGTTCTACTAAAATGCCCGAAATAATGCACGGAAGGGCAACTGAGGTCTTCCTCCACTAGTAAAGCTGGAACATTGCCAATCCCAATCAAACAAACAAAGAAACAAACAAACAAAATCCAAGGTAATCAAGTTTACGAGCAACACAGAAATAATGTCATAACATACGTTGTTTGGTTTTATATTTAATTATTTATATATGAAATTCGCTTAAACATCGCCAACAATCTATCCGTTGTCATTCCATAAAAAATGATACATGTTGAATTGTATACGTTTGCTATTAATGATACAGTAATCGTAAATAAAAAGCGTTAGTGCTAATTAAATGATACAAGTTAAATTACATAAGCTTGCATTAAATAATACAGTGATTCTGCTACTACATGTTGGCCTGATTCAATTTAATGTCAAATCTATAATATATTTGACTGTAAATAAATACACATTTTTATCTAACCAAAATAACTGAAAATGATTTTAAGCACTGTTTATATACTTAGGCCCTCTTCTTGTTGTCCGTCAATTTCCATCCTCCGTCGTATTTGTTTCCGGCTTTCCAAGAAATCGACAAAATATGTTGTATGACAAGAGCAATCTCATCTTCTCGGTACTTTCCGTCAAACGTCGGAATAAGAACATTATTGATCATAGCCGAGATGTTACGATTATGAAAAGCAGAAAATAAATTGATATCTGATATATATTTTATTTCAGGCGTTTGTTAAAAGGTCAAATATGGCTCAATGACGTACGATGTTGATGTATTGAAGTGTTTAACTATTGGACGTACTTCCTGAACTGCCCGGGGTTTCCAAGTATCATGACCTTTCACATATAAGTCGATGGTGTCTAAGCTATGCCTTCCGTTGTCATGTATTTGAAGAACACAAATTATTGTCAGAAAAATACACATATTATCCCATTTTGAAAATTTTAGAAATATTTGATGA